CCTACATGATCAAGGCGGATCGTCTTGGTGATCTCAAGCACTTTTGCCCTGAGTCGGCAAAGATTCACATGGAAGTTCGTGAGAATGTTCCGATCATTCATGAATGGGTAGGTGCAGCACCAGCAGATTTGGAAGCCAGTCCAGGGCCTGTCGCCTTTGATTCAGACACGGAACCGATTGGAGGTCCGAGTTCAGGATCGAGAGATCGACCGGCAGGAGCTCCTGTTCCGGAGCCAGAACCTCGTGTTGAAGCACCAGTAGATTTGCCAAAGGTTAGTGATAAAGTGTTGAAAGAGAAACCAGAAACTCGTCCTCATTTTGGTGATGAACTCATGTTGTGTGATGAACCAAAAGCGGAACCCTTGGATGCCCCTTTAGATGAAGAAGATGAAGAGGCTAACCCTTGGACCCCATCACTCCGTGAACGCCTTGAAGAGGAAGCCAAAAGTGAAACTCATCAACTTTGTCACTTCCCCAAAAACCGTTATTGTTCGATTTGCCAGAGAGCAAAGATGACAGGTCGGGTTCATCGGTCAAGGGGGGCACCGGGTGAGGATGAAATTCCTCCGCTCCACTATGGCCACATGATGAGAGCAGACCACATTATTTTGGGGGCAGATTTAACCAAAGGTGCTGGTGGGGAGCAAGCATGCCTTGTTTGTTTCGATGAATTCTCAGGTTGCATTGGAGCTTACTCCATGACCTCAAGAGACACTGACTCGAACATCCTGTGCCTTCAGAAGTTTGCTGGAACCAGAGCTTCCCCTAGGTCGTCTTGCCTTGTGAAAACCGACTGTGCTCAAGAATTGACCAAAGCCGTTGAGCATTTGGGCTGGTTGAGTGAACCAGGGATTGAGAATGACCCGTATCACAATGCAAAGTTGGAAAGCTTGATCCGAAGGATCAAAGAAGGCACACGTGCGATCCATCTCAAGTCAGGTTTGCCGCACGCCTTTTGGCCAAGAAGCATAGAGTATTTTGTTGTAGCGCGTGCAATCACACATCCATGTCCTGTGCATCCGAATGAGACTCCTGAGTCCAAAGCGTTGAAGGAGGGGAAGACCTGTTATGAAGTTGCTTCAGGTAGTGTTTTTGATGGGTACCGGATTCCTTTTGGTGCATTAGTTTGGTACAAACCACCCAAGCATAGAGAACTTCCTGCCTTTGATCCAAGGACTTTTCCTGGGATCTTTTGTGGATGGCGAATCGACAACGGGTATAAGTTCAGAGGTGTGCATTTGGTTTTGGATTATGAAGCTATTCGCACCAACAAGAAAGGTTGCGAGAAACCAATCCAAGTGTATACGAGTGAGCTTGTGAAACCAGAAGTGTTCATCTTTCCTTTGGAAGAGGCTGCAAATTCACAGCTGGCATTGTTTAAAGCAGATCGGGAGTTGCTGAGCATTGATCCCAGAGAGTCGTTGCCCTTTGGAGAGGATCCTCCCGAGCCAGCCAAACGCAAACGCAGGCCTTATGTAACATTGGAGAGATGCATTAGGTTCGGAAAGACTGTAGGTTGCAAAGGCTGCGACAGAATCGCAGAAGGCGTGAGGCACAGCGATGAATGCCACGCAAGGATTGGCAAACTCTTGGAAGACGAGAGACTAGCCAAAGAGTCAGATTCGAAGAAAGACAAAGAGAAATCAGAAGAAGCGGTGGACATTTCGATGCACACCTTGAAGGACAAGTGTAGCCGCCAAAAATTCAGAGAAAATCCCATTGTCCTGCCTGAAGGCCAGGAGAGCAAGCTGCAGGCTTCTCTCGTGGATTGCTGTAATGCTGAGGCACTGAATGACTATTGGGACTTTGATGAGGCCAAAGCTGCATGGAAGAGAATCCATGTCCGTCCGAGGAAGCGTTTGTTCACACCGCTTGGAAATGATTGTCCTTTTGATTCGTTCGAAGTGACAACAGAACGTCAAACTGTTTGGACTTGTAGAAACAAGACTTCATTGTTTGCAGATGATTGGCAATCCATGTCACCGAATAGGCGCATTTGTTCAAAAAGTTGGGTAGGATGCACATACTTCTTTCCGAAGGAGAAACCCGAGAATGTAAGAGCTAGAATCATAGCCATGACATGCAATGTTGAGAAAGAACCTCTTCGCGGACTTGATGCTGTCATGTCGATCCTTGGTTTGACTCCGGTCCCTGCAGAAGTTAAAAACGTTCAGACATTGAAACCACCCCGTGAAAGGAGGATGAGGTCTGACAAAAGTCATGCAATGTTTGAATTCTGCTGCAGCAAAGACTCGAAACTAGGAGAAATTAATGAATCAAGGGGGGTTCCGCATTTTCGGTTGCATCGAGAACAAACCAACTTGGAAAATGAAGAAGACATCAAAAGCCTTTTGTCGTTGGTGGACATGTTCAAGGGGGCTGACCTTTGGGGAAGCATTCCATGTAGTTCGTGGAGTCCTTGGCAGAAAATGTGTCTGCATCGATATGGCTCATCCTACGCAAAGAAATTGAAAGCCAAGAGAAAGACAAGCAAGAAACTCTTAGCTAACTACATAAAGGTTGCCGAGAGAATTCTCCAGAATGGAGGACATGTTGCTTTCGAATGGCCCAAACATTGCGAAGGTTGGATGTTGACCGAGCTTTTGCAGTTTGTCAAGAAACATGACTTGTATGAGACATGCTGTGACGGCTGTGCCTTTGGTTTGAAAGACAGTAAAGGAGAGCCACATCTGAAGACATGGAGAATCGTAACCTCAGCAAGGAAGTTGGCAAAAGACCTTAGTGCATACAAATGCCAACACCCAAAAGACTTTAAACACAGTCCTTTGGAGGGTTCAAGCACAGGGAAGTCAGCCTTCTACACTGAAAGGATGGCGCAAACAATCTCGAACAGCTTGTATCCTGATGGTGATTCCGTCCCAATCATGCCGACTTGTCCGTTTGTTCAGTCAGAACATGTCCCGAATAAGATTCCTTTCGGTGTTCATCAGTTGATTGATCGTCGAGATTGGGGAAAGTATCCGGGGGCTGATCAAGCTATCAAGAAAGAGTTGGATGGTCTTCTAGCAAATGAAGTTTGGGATGTTAATAAAATCATTTCCAAAGAAGAACTGGTGAAGTCGGGTGGTAAATTCAACCTAGGTCGTCTCATGACAATCCTGTCCATGAAGCACGCTGAAAGTCCAGAATTGCGAAAGTTGAAAGCCAGAATTGTGTTCAGAGGCGATCAGATTGTTGACCAAGACAACAACATCGCCATCCTGCAGGAACTCAAAGTGAATCCCTCGGGAATCACGGCCATAAACTTCAACTTGAGCTATGGTGCACTTCCAGGAAATGAAAGTTCCCAGTCGGACGTGGTGCGTGCATACACTCAAAGTGTCTTGCGAACTGTGGTGGACACTTGGGTGCTACTCCCTCCAGAGTTAGTGCCAAAGGAGTTCGCTCACATCAAAATGCCAGTAGCGCCCCTGAAGAAAGCGCTATACGGACACCCGGAATCGGGTTTCCACTGGGATGCAAGATTCCGTGAAGTGATGGGACTCATGGGAGGTAAAGCTGACAGAGACAACCAGTCGAATTGGACCTTTGAAAATGGTCTAGTCCTCACATTGTACGTTGATGACATCTTGCTTTCAGGGCCATCAGGTTTGCACAAAGGGTTCTGGGAAAACCTGCAAAAACACCTTGAAATAGAAGAACCGACCCCGGTGGATCGTTGTCTTGGCAGAAAGCATTTGTTCAAACGTGAAAACGGAGTGACTGAAGTTTATTTCGACATGGTAGATTTCATCAACTCAGCATGCCAAATGTATGAAAACCTGTCAGGGATGCCATTGAAAGGCGCTGCATCTCCGTTCTTGCCAGAAGGTTCCATTCCAGTGAATGAATGGGAGGAGCGCGGTGCTCTAGCAAGTGATGCTAGTAAGGTCTTGATGAAAGTCCTTTGGGCGGGCAGACTTGCCAGGCCGGACACGGTAAAGGCAATAGGGGATCTCACCCGCCGTGTCACGAAGTGGAGTCGTGCCGATCACCGCCACTTGCACAGATTGATGAACTATCTGTTCGAGACCAAGGCGTTCTGCCTGAAGGGCAAAATCGCAGATCGTCAGGAAGACCTGCAACTGGTCTTGTATACCGACGCGGACCACTCAAGCGCGGTAGAGGATGCAAAGAGCACCTCTGGTGGTTTGCTGTGTCTGCAAGGACCGGGGTCTTACTGGCCACTGTCGTGGCACAGTAAGCGACAGGGTGCCACTGCACGATCGACCACAGAGGCCGAGATCATATCACTTGCCCACGGCGTATTTGACGCTTTGCCAGTTGCCGAATTCGTTGAGGAAGTATTTAGGAGAGAAATTGAATTGGTGTGTTTCCAGGATAACAGCGCCGTCATAACCATATGCGGCCAGGGCTATAGCCCCAAGCTCCGACATGTTTCGAAACACCATCGTATCAACCTCTCTTCTCTATACGAGACGTTCGCAAATGGTAGTGCCAAATTGCTTTATATAAAAACGGACCATCAAAAGGCTGATCCCTTCACGAAGCCGTTGCCGGTTTCTAAATGGAGTCACGCCTTGGAGCTTTTAGGCGTCGTGGATCCAAATCTCTCGAGGCACCCATCTTCCACTGAAGCTGTTAATGTGTGAAGGGGGAGGAGAGAGACATGGGGTGAAACCACCACCCCTAATCCACTAGCAAAGCACCCTGGTCGATGCATCTGGCACGCCAGGGGAAGCAGTCCTTGAAGCAGTCCATGAACAACCAAAGAGCATCTCTGCAGGCAAGCTTTGCATTCGATGTGTCACCAAGTACTGTGTATCACTTGACATGCAAGTCATAGGAATCTTAATGAATGTAGCCATCACGTGATCCAGTCATTGACGTTTCACTTCACCGGACATGTTTGGCTCAAGATTGTGGGAAAAAGGGGCGGCTGCTGTGTTCTATTTTGCCATGCAAAAGTCAGAATTTGTTGATCCACGAAGTTGAAGGCCGCCCTCCAAGTCCTGTCCTGTTTTCACAGCTAAGCTGAGGAATCAAGACCTACGAAGTCCTCCAAGAAGAGCCAGAATACAAGAAATGGGCTGGAGAGAACTTCCGCTGGTCCTACTTGCCATATTCCATGAAGATGGCTGGCCCACGCGAAGCGATTCAGCATATGATCATCCGGAAGAACTTTGGAGCCACACACTTCATCATAGGTCGGGATATGGCTGGAACGAGCCTTGGAGGACGGTCGGTCTTGACTGGGCAGGACGGTCTTGCGGTTGCCTGCGGGTGACGTGGTCTACAGTGTACAGGCAGTCAAAGAGCGTTTGAGCTGTAGATGGCATGGGTTGGGACTTTAGGAAGATGTATCAGCAACCCGAGAGTGGTTCTCAATCTGTTGTTCTTGCTATGAAATGCAGCTGTGTCGCGATGCCGAGGAAGAGTACCTTGACCAGCGAGGACTTTTATGGGGCCTATGAGGCCGGGCAAGGACTTGGGAATGATGCTGGAGCTGCTGGGGTTGGATTTGCGTTACGATGGCCATCCACGGCCTTTAAGCATCATGGATTTGGATGTCATGGCCTCTTGGAAGACTGCTGCCTCGTCCCAGGAGTTGTTTACTTCATCGTTGGATGGAGGGTATATGTCTTGCTTGGAATAGGATGTTGACAAGAGAACATGAGGCTCCTAAGAAGACATGAGTTGTGGGTTGTGGGGGCCGTGGGGCCACCGCGGCACACGCAATCAGACGTCGCGCTGGAAGCTTAGGCTCTGACGGGCGCTGGTCTGGTCTTGGTTTTGAAGCTTTTTTATGGCCACACTAGAAAAACAATGAAGGAAGGATGGTATGCAATAGGCAAGCTTTGAGTTTGCAACATTCTGCTGAAGTCTATCGAGACTATAGCATCAGACAGCTCCGCATGTACTTCCATCAACTCCAGCAAATCAGACCTTCGCACCCGGTAGATTCGCTCACACCTGTTTGTCCTCCGTGGATATGATATGCCAGTCCCGTCCAGCTCTGGGGGGCTACCCCCATGGTGAGGCTCAGGAGATGGGCAAGAAGCACTCGCAGGAATTGAACGTGAAGGTCGTGGACTATCCCAACATGGTTTATGCACCCCGGCAAGACTGGCAAGGAATGACCAGTGAAGAGTACGGCGAATACGGCGCATTCCGAAATTATACAAATAATATCATAATTATTGAAGATTAATAAAGAAATCGCCATCGAGACGACTCACACGCAAGGTGGGCATGGAGCATGGCAATGAGCGAGGCCTAGAACTGCGAGTTCGCTGGTGATCTTCAGAGTTTGCAGAAATATTTCACAAGAACTGGTTTTCCCGGTTTTCCCAACATGTTCTTGTGGCAGGATACATTGCAGATGTGGATGCCAAGGCATCCGAGCGTTGGGGTCGCTTCGCAGCTGTTGTAAAGCCTACCTAGAAGTGAGCATGTAGAGAAACTCATGGTGCAGCTCAAAGCTCACTTGGTACTCTTTGTATCTTTCTGTAATTCACGGGAGTGCAGGAGGTATATGATAGTACTGGCCACCTGGCAAAAGGTTCTTTTTTTCAAGATACTTCAAGCCAGCCAAGGCTGCTATCCCTGCCGGTATGCCTTTATGTTCTCAAGTTCCAACCTGGCGAAAGCACTCCATCCTACTATGCCCTTGAACTCGTTGAACTTGGGGGGGCCTGTGATGTGAAAGATCCTCCACCTTGTCCACATGACTGCCACACAGTGGCGCTGGGCAGCTGAACTTCACGAAACAAACAGGTTGGTTAGAGAAAACATGCATCTCCCGAACGAAGACTGCTGGTGGTTCTCCAGTGAAGCGTTCCGGCTGTCCACCATGTGTACAGTTCATACAATTTTGACATATTTGAACGATTTGTGATGACATGGCTGCTGTGGGTGTTCTTCAGGCCAAGGGGCTCAAGATCAACAAGCTCTCAGGGACAGAGCTGCTTGGCTAATAACAGCCACATCATGAGGACTTGACAGGCTATGGCAGCTATGGGATGCCATGTTCACCTCCAGCGGATGGCTCTGAAGGAGCCAGATGGAGGTTTGAGCATCCGATCTGACCTTGTCCGATGTCAGGGTTGCCGACCTCAGTCCAGCTATGCATCACCCAGTGGTGTGGCCCTATCAGATTCGATGCATCACCAGAAGCGGGAGAAGCACGTGACCAGCGTATGGGTACCTTGCTGCCAGAGTACCTTGATACCCTTAGAGTCGCCCGTTTGCGAAAGCAAACACGAGGTTTTCAACAATGTCCTAGGGAGACACTGTTCGAGGCGTTGACGTTCTGAGTGAATGGCTCAGTGCCTCGGACCTCCGTCACAACCTCCTGACCCGGAACCGTCCGGGTCACGCGTGGCATCGCCGGTGGCACCAGGTTTCGCAAGCGCTTGCGAAGCGGCGAAGACATCCCGGAGTGGTTCGCCTTCCCCAAAGTGGTGAAGGTGGGGCAAAGCAAACCGCGCGGCGGATAGACGCTATGTCGCGCGTGGTGGGGCAGCAGGGATTGGTTGGACCAACTGTTTTCGGTGTTCCATGGAGGATCAGGTATAGATGGTGTGAAGTCCTTTGAAGCAGAACGGTCCGGAGAGATCAGGAGCGAAGCTTTCATGATATTGCGGATGATCGGGGTATATTGGGGTAATCTCCCGTTGTCGGTCATGATTCCACAAATCATTTTGGGCATGGTCGACGAGAGGGTTTGCATCGGCGTCCAGCTCCAAACAGGATGTTTTGACAGGGCAACTGTGGATCCTTTGAGTCCAGAAACTGCTGTTCCAACATCACTTTCAAGCACACTTGGATACTCTTGGTCTCAATGAAGCTCATTTGCCATGCTGGGTTGATCTATGTTGAGCCATAGCGCAGCAAGTGAAAGCTTTCCCTGCCTTAGTCCTTGTGCCTTTCAACCTGCCTTGGCCAGTAGCGCCTTTGGTTCCCTGCTTCAGGTCCTGCGTGACGGAGGCAGATATGGGAAGAGGGACGAGAGGGATGTGAAAACCCCGACCTGTCTATTCGCCTATCCTTAATTCACAGGGACATGGAACAAGAACATTGAAACAGGAACTTGTAGTTGAAAAACAATTACTGTATAATTAGAGGATGGGCAGTGCGAGTGCAACTCTGCCGATGTCATGATTGGTCACTGTGCGTGTTTGTCCAAACTATGGTCGCTTTCGAACGCAGCTTGGCTAAGCTCTTCATCAATGGCTAAGCTCTTGGTTGGATTGGAGGAACCCGGGAAGGAGGAAGGAAAGGCTACCCGCAGCATCCATCATGGGAGGTCATGATGATATTTGGGTGGAGTTTGTACCTTGACCCACAGGTGAACTCAGAACTTGCAATGGATGAAGATGATCAATAGGAGACGTCGACGCCAGCCTTGCAAAGGATGAGAAGCCAACCATTCATCATTCATCCCCAGCTATTTGCGTCACTGAGGGTTTTTCATTGACACTCCCGGAGTTTCCTTTTGCACTCCTGGAGTTCTCCAGGCGACAAGATTTTCCTGTGAGAGGAGCTAGGCAGCTGGGAGACGTAGCAGCTGGGCCTACGAAGCGGCCCGATCTCTGCATTTCATGGACTCCCTATGAGCTCCAACGAAGAGCAGAGCCAGCAGGCTCAGTGGGCACCAACAGGATGCTTTCCTGCCAGCAATCCGTTGCAGAACTTAAAAGAGGCAAAGAAGGGGCAGTTTTCGCGGGAGTCCTCCAAACAGCAATATTGCCCTGTGTTTCTACTGTGGGAATGATGAAATAAATGTCTTTGGATGTATTATTTATTTGTTGTTTGGACGGCGTTGCAACAAATTTCTGGATACCAACAATATCAAGCAACCTTATGAAGACGTATTAGCGGCTATTAGCGGACGAGTCTTGGGTTTTGTTTTGTTGGTTTACGATTCTGTTTCACTGTCTCGTTCCATTTGTTTTTTTGTGTGCGCTCCTTTTCCGTAGACCACAGGCTGAGTCCGGCATGGAGCAGGACCAGCGAGCATCCTAGCATCCTGGTTTTGTGGATCCTGTGGCAGACCCGATGACATGTTTTCAGTGCCAAGCAACCCACTATTCCAGGATCTGAGTTAGACATTGCAATATATTGCAATTAGTTTGTAAGCTTAGGGCTTAGGACTAGAAAACTGGCCGTTTCCAAATGTGTGTAGCCACAGGATATGATTTTAGTTACCGCAACCATATACGCAAGAAAATCCTTACATAGCTTACATGTTCAAAGCATTTCAAAGCTATGTTTGTACTCCAGTTCTGGCAACGTTGCTTGCTTAAGGAGGTGAAAAGGGTCGCACCCAAATTGACCTCTACTACTATAGTCTCCGGCTTTGCAGGACACGCTCTCCTCCTCCTGGTCGCAGAATCAGGGCGAGGTGCCGGCCGAAATGTTTCGCCGTCCTAGTCGTCTCGGGCCCTGTGTGAACGGCCAACTTTTGGTGTGTGTGTGTGTGTGTCAACTCCTGTCTCCAAGGAGCTCGACCACACTCAGGATTCTACCCAGGTACTACCCTTAATTCGATCGCTGTGTCAATGTTCGTGTACAGCAGCAGGGGGCATGGCAGCTGTTTCCCTAGCCATGCCAACGAAGCTATGGGATTCAGCCGGAAGGGAATGTGGACGCACATTCCTGTACCTGCAAAGTTGTAACCATGTTTCACCCATGTTAAACAATACTGTTGATGCGGACTCCTCCACCTTGCGGTTCACCAGCCAAGGTCTAAACTGCAGTAAGCGTAAAGGGCCGATGCACTGGGAGGTCACAACTGATACTGCTCTTGCGAGCCTTTATGTAAGTGTGTGTGTTTTTTATTTTTCCGGAGCCGAGGAGGAGAGATTGGGCTTCTTGTGTTGGTCAAGAAAACATATAGTATATGACATGTATAGAGGACGGTCAGGGTGAACATGTATAGACGTCTTGGCCCAATCAACTAGGTCCTTTTCAAGCGTATTGAGTTCCAAAAAGGGTGGCCCGTTCGAAAGAAGCGGCACGGCCGGTCGTGGGTCCATGGCGGCCGTGCCGTCTTCCGCATGGCCGGTGGCCCGAGGTGTGTGGAGCACGGCTGTGCGCGGTGCTCCACAGTGTGGAAGGGCTGTCCAGGCGTTGGTTCTGT